TAGAGCATGTCCTCCTGGAAGCACTAGGTAGCCAGGAGTGTTAATGGAATACATATATATTTTGGCAGAAGAAAAATGCTGAATACTCAACAGGATTAGAGGAAAAAATAGGGAGTCTTTACATAATACTATGCAAACTACTGCCAGGTGAAATGTTCAATTCTAGACTGAAATTCACTCTCCAAAAGAAAAGCTGCCAAAACTTGCAAAGAGTTCGACAAGTCTGAAATGCATGCATTATCATGACAGACTTTAACAGTCTGATCTTCAATTACAGAAAAAAAAGAAAAAAAAAGTGCTTGAGAGGTGACTTAAAAGTGACTTCCCTGTATTTAATTGGGAAAAAAGGATTTCTGACAACAGAAGGAATTTTACTGTATCAGGGAAATATGTAAGAAGGTGCAATCGCTGGGAACTGGAGTCAGGCAAACTGATGAGAAATGAGACACATTTTCCTCTGACTGTGAACAGTGAACCCTTCGGAACAATCTGTCTGTAGATGTAATGGAGTAATACTCATTTGATACTGTTAAAATGAGGAGTTTATGCCTTCCCATAAAACACTCACTTTTAAAACCTTACAGGGTTTAAAACAGTGACTACTGGGCAGATTGCACGGCCTGTATTATTCAGCAGTGCAGACCAATGGCCATAGCCATCTCTCTGACCTCAAAATTACTGAAATGCTAGTAAGTACACTCAGAAACATTTGGAAACCGGGGATTCAGAGAGAGCGGAGATACCATTGCTTGGAAGCAGGCCAAAAGCTTAACGAGACACTGCGAACCAGCATGACCACATTTTGGTCCCATATTTCCATATGGGTTAGGGCTGGGAAAGACATGGAGATTTGTTTAGAGACTGTTTGTTCTAGCTAAATTGTTTCCAGGATCTAGTTATAAGTATTTAGAAAACCCTTTCATTAGCTAAGAATAGAAAGTAATCCACACAACTACAATAAATAACATTTTTTTAGGTTCATGTAAAACAGCTCTGGGTACTCCCATCTTCATCTGGCCTCTTGCTTAAGGAATTAGTCATACCTGGCCTCTCGACTACAGCCCCGTTGTAACTAAACCAAAATTTATCACATAGAGCACAGTGAAAAAAATCTGACCATTAATAAGGAGCTGAAGTTTGTGGACAGCAGTAGATTTTACATATTTAGCTGCTGTTGCTAAATATTAAGAATATAACACAGAAATATAACATATAACGTTATTAGATATTATATATTAATAGATAAAATGCAGAAATATATGTTAGTGTAGATATATATAAAAAAATAACAGAAATATTACACATTAAGAATAAAAGGCTTTCTGCAGTTTCCAGTCTTCTGCAAAATTAAAAGTCTATTTGCTTTTGTTAACTCCCCACATAGCTTTCACCCACACTTCAGACTCTGATTGTTCACTTGCCATGTACCATAATTTCCTGTCATTTAAACCACTCAGTCGTATTTTCATCTTCAGGGCTCCCTCTGAATAGCCCAAAAGCATCAGCAAAACTGTGTACAGCTGATCCTCTCCTCACATCAGTGGACGTCTCCAGCTGTCTTTCAAAGGTTTTACCTTTCCTGTAAGGCATTTCTGGTTGTCCTTCATATTCTGGTGTCCAAGCATGAACCATTGAAACCGATGGTGTCTAAATGACTTAAAATATTTTAAAATCCCACTTGGATCCCTCATCATATTTAAGCTTTCAAATCTGAGTATTTGTATGCTAATTTCTGTATGAATCCCCACAGAAAAATGCAAAAACTAATAGGGAAACTTTCTCCCGATAGTGCTTCTATAAAATTTCACCTGAAATGTTACAGTTTATATGAGATTGCTATACATTTCCAGCAAGATCAAGATTGGCTGTGGAGGTAAAACTCTTATATTGGTTCCCAGTACTAGCTGCCACATGAGAGCCTCATCTTTTTAAAATCTGTCAAAAGGCTGCTTTTGAAATTACACAACTGTGTCAAGAATAAAGTTAAGAAATAAGTAATGGAGCTGTCAGAAGATCTTACAGTATAATTAAGTTGCAGAAAATTGAAGGCACTGAAATCTTTCTCACGACTGCATGGCCAAACAGTGGAGCAATGCAAATAATTGCTATTTACAATCCCGTAACGAAGGACAGCCATTTACTGTGAAGAGCTAAAAATCCTCCATAAAACAGAGTTTAGAAATTAAGCAGATTTTCATAAATTTTGATAATTCCATAAAAACATTTTGATATCAGATGCAAAGCCAAATTTTGTGAGATCTCTGTAAGTGAAAAGCACCATGCAGAAATTACTGTATGAAAAAACAGTTTCCTTCATACAAAACTCAAGAGTTTTAACCCACTATATGATCCAGATTGACTAATTTTTACAGCTGGAGGCTTGATATAAAACCAAGGTAATCTAATACTACCAGGTTTAAATATATGAATTTTAAGTGACTATGGCTAGAAATACCATTTTTTCATTAACTTGTCAGAATACTCCAGATAAAGAAGTGTTTCAGGCCCATCCATCAGGGTTTCTCCAATGACCTGGAAGAAATTAGCCTATATGCTTCTTATATAAAGCATGATGTCAAATCACAATATCAGTTCTCCGAAGAGTAAAATTCTTAAAGGTAGATGTAAATGTGCTGTTTCGTCAGTGCAATGAACTCCTAAGATAACTTTGTAATCAGATGGATAATGCTTGATTAATAATTATTCAGGAAATAAAATCCAAAACAAATTCCTCCTCCTCTACTCTTTCCCAAGCTAGAACTTGAAATATACATGATGGAAAGAAGTTTTATAAAATGGTATATTATGTATTTTATATATTACATATTTTATATTATGTATAAAATATTTTTCTTCGGAAGAGGCTGGAATTCTTCTGCTGGTACTGCATGTAGGGAAAAACGAGCAAAGGCCCAGACTGACCGGTTTCTTCAGACAAAACAATCTCCATAGATAGGCAGGAATTTCCTTGTACAGGGAATTAAAGTGACACCAAAGGGGAAGCGCAATTGGAAAGAATAAGAACAAGGTGGATTCGTAAATCTAATTGAAGGTCGGGATAACTCAGAGACTTCAGTCACCTCCAAACCTTGGAAGAACCTTGCACCGAAATATTTAAACTTGAAGAAATTCTAGTACAAGGCCTGCAAAAATCTGCCTGCTTCTTCACCTGCATTAACAAAGGCAGAGACTAATATTATGACTTCTATAGGTACCTTTGCAAGTACTCCCACTAGTTGAGGACAGTTATCAATATGAACATGACATCAGCAAAGAACTCAGGTTTCTGATTATAATACAACTGCAATGAAGACCAAGTGGACCAAAACGACAGTACTTCCTTCAAAATACATAAAAGAGCATGTACCCAGATGAGTTGCAAAATTAAAATTATTGCCCTGTAATGTGCAGATATTTCTTAAATAAATTTGGCAGTACCTGCATTGCAAGAATTTTATTTTCCTTTGTGTGCGCACATTTGAATGCATTTTCTGCCAGCTGGGTAAGAAGGGCTTACCTCCTCTGGCTTTTCCCCATGGTTGGAGAGAGCTGTATGAATGCATCTTTCACTCCAGTGCCATGAGTTTTTAAGAGTCTACATTTTTAAAGGTTGTAAAGTCATCTAGGATATGCAAATAAAAGTGCTATGAAGGAACAGCGTCTCAGTTGTTAATATGCTGTCAGATTATGAAACATTATCAACAGGTAGGACATCTCAAAATGGGTGTTAGTGGCAAGAGAAACACGGGGAACTGCTGCAGCACAACGCAGCAGCCCAGCATTCCATTATCTGTCTGCTGGTGATCATACGGTGACTGCAAAGTCTTGCACCACATGAAGTGATACTAAATAGGAGACACGACCAAAGATCACACGACAAGAACATATCTGGGGCTAAATGACGTTGGAACAACAGCGGTGGCAACTAGCTTGTGGCTACCCTGCCAGCTCCTGAAACAGCACCAGGACAGTTTCAAGCCCAAGATGATGTTCAGGCTGGCTTGTGCCACACCAGAGCCTCCTTTCCTGAAGTGCAGAACACCCGCAGTTTCCTCTGATTTCAGGTGGTGTAGATGGTACTCATCGCTTCTGAAAACAAAGCATTATGCGTGAGCAAACATACTCTGAAGAAGCAGATGTGCCACAAATCCAAAAATGCCACCAATTACACAAGCCCTGCGAGTTTCCTTTGGAGCAGAGTTTGAAGTGTGCAGCTTTATAGGGAGATGTTTAAATACCTCCAGCAACTACAGAACAGGAATAGAGAGAAGAAAATAAAAATGCCACCCTCACTCCTGTCAGTCTCGCAGTATTTTAGTCATCCAAACAACATGGGTGGTGCTCACTCTCTCCATGCTATCCAGCAGGTAAAGAAACAAGCCGCAGCAGTTTCAATAGGACAAATCATTTTACATTTGGACAAGATGATTTCACAAAAAAGGTGGATTTCTGAAACTGTGACTGAGGAAGTGTTTCTATCATGTTATTGAAGGAAAAAAAAAAAAAAAAATAATCAGAGGAGGGAATTGCATTGCTACCAACAGAGAAAACAGAATAGCGTGATACTAAAAGCACATTGCTTTAGTGGTTTCACAGAATAAAAATTGATTTAAAGTAACATTTGTCTAAAATGCACAGAAATATAGATTAAATATAAACACAACTGTCTGTGGTAAAAGCAATAGCAGCTAGTATGAAATAACCCACTAGTTAGTTTTTAATGAAGTGCTCTATTTTGTGCACTCTTGGAGTTAAGAGCTGGGTCTCTGTGTGCAAGTGGTTATATTGGAGGGACTGAAGAGCTACAGCTTAGCCCTCTGCAACTGACAACTAAATAAGGAGGGTTTTAATTTATCTGGAACACAAACATTTTACATGCATTAGGGTTATATTAGAGCTGCAGGTATTACAGGGTTCTCGGTATTTGGGGTGATCCTTTTTTTTTAAAGGACAAACACCAGTATAAGGTGAGAACTATCAAAACCAAAACTAACTCTTACATGATAAATTCTGTCAGGTTGCACCATTTTTTAGAGTCCACTTTCTTCATCATCTCTTCAAAGGATTTTCCACAGGCAGGCAACTTTTCTAACATGAGAGATTCATTGCAGAGATTAGTCTGTTGACATGCACCTAGGTAAAATCAGAAAGCGCCTTAAATCTGAAACATTGAAATAGAAGAAGCACGAACACATCACTCACATACTCCTTCACATAATTCTGCTTGACACTTACATTGTTGTAAACCTAACATTCAACTTTCTAAACAATTTTAGAAAATATAAAAAATATACCTCTATGCAAATTTATTACAAACATAACAGTATAAAATACTATAGGTTACCATATATAGTATCATCTTTTAGACCTAGCATAAAGGAACCTACCTGGTCAATTTTCTAATCTTACATAGCTTCTACTCATACTAACTTATTACTGCCCATTTGAATTTTTAGTTAAAAGCTAACTGTAGTTACTGATCACAACTTCAGTGTAGAAGGCAGTTCTCAAGTTTACACAGATGCTTCCCGTTCAACTAACTATATGACTGTAAAAGTACTTCATCAGAAACATTTGTATATCATCAGCTAAAGGGTTTGAATTCCCACAGGCACAATTAACCTTTTTCTTTAGTATATCCACTAAAGATTTATCTACCATTATCAGATGTTGACATTACAACAGACAGCTATTTGCAAATAAAGAGTTAACCTTGACTTGAGCAAGCCTGTATCTTTTGCAACCTGTTATGGTAACTCCACAGTATTTAGAGTCATTTAGAGTCAAAGTCAAAGGTTTTTCTCATCCAGCCCATGACTACACTGGAATACAAATACAGTATTTTGTTATTTCTTATAAAACTAAAATTCTGAAAAAATTCTACACCAACTAACTAAAGCATTTGGTTATGGTAAGACTGAAACATTTTGGTTTGATTTAGTTAAATGTGTCTTGCTTTACATTTACAATTGCCACTATTTTGATTGTTCTTCTATAAACAAAATTCATACATTTTGTACACCATTAAAAATTACCAGTAAGTATATGTATGTCAACATATTTAATACAAATGCCTAAATTAAATTAGTCAGAAAAAAACAAAACAAAACAAAACAGTGTGATTTCTTCTCTTTACAGCAGCAAAAACCTGAGAAAAGGATTTACCTGAAAAAAACTGCAATCCTAACAAACACGTGAGGCAACCCTCCCGAGAACTTGGGAGAAACAGCTTATTTTAAGAATAAAGCCAAGAAGAACAGACCAATTTGTCCTTTTTTTAATCGTAGAAAAAGGAAGTCTAAATGGAATCAGGTCTGGCACGTTTTTCTTCTGAACCTACATTTTCACCGAGACCCTATTTACAACAGGGAGAGGAGGTATTTCTTTTCCTTCTATTAGTTATGTTGTGAGCAGGATCCCATCGTTGCTGCCAAGAGTCGGTGGTTGTAATTTTTGCGTGGTGACAGCCAAACACATGGCTAGGGGAGGCGAGGTGAGGCCAAGGGTGGGCGAGCCTTCGCTTGACGAGCCCCGAGGCACGGCCCCCTCTCAACCGGGCACCGCTCCTTACCACGGCGTCCAAAAAAACCTAAGGCAAGATGACCGATTTCAGGCTTCACGTCACGACCCAGCCGTCACTCAGAAAGCTGAACGTCTCCACTCTAAAACAGGGCACGTGATTGCAAAGCAGGAGCGCGCACTAAGCGCCTTGCCGGCGGAAGGGATGGCTCCCGTGGCACCTGGGCAGGAGCGCCCCGCAACTTCCCTGCGGAGCTGGGCAGGCCACGGACTCGGTGACGCCACATGCCAAACAAGAGGCAGCCATCGTGTCAGATCAAAGAAATATTTTGCTTTCACAAACTTTCCAAGAGCATCAGGCCCGTAACTGGACAGCCCATCCCGCACCTGAGACCCCAGGCCTACTGCTTCATACAGACCACCAACCTCTCCAGGCGTACGGCTGACTTCCTGGGACCTGACCCTACCTCCATCGTCATGTCTGACCATCAGAGCTCAGAGCGGATTCATCCGTGCCAGAAAAAAGTCAGAACCACAAGTACTCACTGGTGATTGAAATGGTGAAAGTTACAAAAAAAGGAACAGCATAATTTTGTCCTTGGGAAGTTAACATGGACCCTGCCTATTTAAGCATTCCTCTCAATTCATCTGGCAGCTGCAGCAGTTATAAATTACACTTTCCACAGCTAGATCTGCAGATGAACACTAAAGCTGGGCAGAATTCAAAACCAGATACGAAAATTGCATAGCTGGCAACTGAAATCCTGCACTGATGCTTTGACAAAAGTTAAGCAAAACTGCCTTCACTGGAAGGGTGTTCTAAATAGTCAGCTATCACTTGATTTATAGCCCTGTAAATCCAACAGAGTACAAGTTTCGCCTCCATTACATCATGTGCGCTGACAGTTTACTCCAGCCCCTTCCCAGAAGGTTTTTCAAATGGATTTTCCATGGCCTTGGTGTTTTTGGTTGGCTCTTTAGAACTTCAGTTTTGCAGGGTTACAGAAAAAGCCCTGATAGAGTCATCTAACAGGAACAATCTGATGACACGAGTTCCTGCCTAAATCCCTGGCCAAAGGAGCTCAAAATGATGAAAAATTCTACAATTTTACCATCACTATTGAGACTGACCTTTACAAAACACTGAAACGCTCTCTGTGTTCATACAGCTGATGGATAAGACCAGTTGAAAAAAAAAATGTATGACACTTAACTAACCGAAAAGAAATAGGATGGAAGCGCTTCTCAAATGGCTGCCATTAACAATACAGCAACAGAAGTTTGAATTTTAGAAGTAAAGCTCACCTGAAAATCCAAGCGTCATTAGACCATTAACTAGGGGGAGGAAAAAAAAAAAAAAAAAAAAAAGAGATGAGTTAGATACCTCCAAACCATTATATAAAAAGAATTAGTCCAGATACAAGCAAACTTGAGCATTATTTAGGTTTCAACAGAATACTCAAAATGTTCATTTGAACATTAGTGTCAGTTTTATTAAAGACTATATCTGAATGGAAAAATGAACACTCAGAGAACATTATGTTTTTAGATTCATTTTTATCTATCTTTTAAATGGCTGAGTCATGCAGACTTGTTACGGGTCTGTCCGCACCACTCTTTCCTGTAGATTCCAACATTAAGGTTTAGCAACAGGGAAACTTTTACTTTAAGCTTCTTGAGGGTGAAAAAGTTGGAGATAACACATTCACTCAAAATGCAGGTGAACTGCACATTCTAAAGCACAGAGCAAAAAAAAAATCTTTTTGCTATTAAAATTAAGCAAGCACAGAATCATAAATAAGTGTGTACTCTATTCATTTAGAAATATAATGTTGTGCTTCATGGTCTCCACCTTTTGCTCAGTGAAGTCATACATTTATAAAAACATTATGTTCAAAACTCATAAGCTCCTCACATGGATGCTATGCTAATACAGGTATGTCAGAAGAGCATCCAAATGGAAACACAGACTATGCCAACAGAAGGAGTCCTCTGATCAGCTATTTGCAGTACATCCAGATGGATTAAATTAACAGAAGCTCACTGTGTTCACACAGCTCCAGCCACGCTTAGGATTCTGCAAATATAGCCAAGAAGGATGTGGCTTCAATTATTTTTGATGTCACATTGAAAAAAATAAATGTTGACAAATCTTTATAGTGTTAACCTTGCATCAGAAATGAAATGCGTAATTTCACACAGATGGACGCCTCCTGCTCATTGTTTATACCCTACACATCACTCCATTAAAATGAATCAAGATATATGTAGCAGAGTATCTGTCCAAATCATATTGATCTAGACTGTGCGTTCACTGAGATATGTCAAGCTCCTGACTGAGTTAACTGCAAATTGTTGCGTACATACATCTGAGAAGAATTTCAATCCTTCCAAGGAACATATTTTTCTTCCAGACAATTATTAATCTCTGTCTTACATTACTAATGAGACAAAATGTACTGAAACTTTGAAGAGCAGGAATCCATGTATCAGAAAAGTGTTGCACCCAAACTCACAGAGCTGAAACTCCATTATACACTCCGATGGCTCTATCTCTTTCACAAATAGAGCACTTTTCTTTCCAGGCTATTAGCTGTTACACTAGTAAATATACTTGAGTCCCTGGGTAGGTTTTCTTTAATCCTGACTTGAAAATTTATCTTATCAACTGCAGAAAACTGAAGATGAAATTAAAAGCACACAGTTCATGAGGAAGCCAACCCCACACATTCTGAGGAAACAGTCTAGACACATACACATGCAGCTAGATGCTCCCTTTGAGGACCACAGACTGCACCTCCAATTCATATTCTATCAATTCCTATCACTGATCTCTAAATCCTTCATATTATGGTTGCAGTAATCCTCACAAGACCACAGGGAGGCAAATAAAACAGGATTTACAATGAGAGAGAACCAGCAAGAGAAAACATGTCCGTGTTTTACAGACAAGAAGTTGAGTGACTACCCCAGTGTCAGGCAGGGACGCTGTGATAAACCAAGTACTGAATAAAGGCTCACAGGTTTGTGCTCACAAGTGCCCCTGCTCAAAGGAAAGCATACTTTTTGCATTTTCTGATCTGCTCATAACAAAGTAACACAGCATGTTTTATACATAGCCTCAACCAGGAGAGTCCAGATACCTTCAGAGAAGGGTAGAACAACAATCCAGACCACCACATGCTATCATGCCCACCCCTCTTTGTTTTCTTTGCTCCCAGATATTCAACTCATAACACTTAATCAGGAGACTACAGCTTGTTGACCAGGACAGTTTACACAAAAAAGTGTAACTTTTCCAGCAGCTCTTTTAAGAAGGGGCAATTTGAGTCTATTTCTTGGGAGGTTGAATCCAACACATCTCATTAGAAGACACACAGAGGAAGTAAAGTGAGTCACAGTGTTGGAAGATGTTGTCGTGATCCCAAAACAAACAGCTGCCAAAGACTCCTACCTGAACCAACATTTAAGGGAGGGAAAAAGACGTTCAGTTTAACTGTACCTCCAAGTTGCCTGCAGGTTAAATCATGATAATAATGGACCACAGCAATGGCTCTTTAACTTTCATTTTCTCCATAAACTGCAGCAGCATGTATGATCACCCCTAGCATTAACGGGATCAGATGTGAAGGGACCAACCAGCTCTGAGCAAGAGCAAGAGATGAAAGAAAGCACCATCAAATGAAAGATGGGGAAAAATAGCCTCGAAGAGCCTTTGGAAAGAAAAAGATAAGCAAAACAGGATAAAGTAACAGAAAATAAGAAAATCAAGAAAAAAAAAAAAAACCAAGTTTTTATTAACAACCTACATGAAAATCTTGTACATGAAAAAAAAACAAAATCTGATCCTAGACCTTCACTGCAGCCTCTTATTATCTACTCCCTACTCTCCTTTTGTAAACAGACATGCTACCGACATTAAAAAAAGAATTCAGAATGGGATACACAGCAATATGTAAATTCACTATTGGGATGCATGAGAGGGTAACTGTCTTATAATTTTCCAAATATATAAGCTTCTAGTTTTATGTGAAATGGATGAATATTTCTCAATGTTTATTTTTCTGCTATACTGTTATTATTCACTGGTATCTTTTCCCAGAGGCTTAGAAGTAGCACTGAAAGTCCTTGTATTGCAACTACTTCATAAATCTTAAGCAGCATATGAATTGCTGTGTGTTTTTCCTACTGCATGTTCCTTCAAACGCTTTGTAAGAATACTTCCGAAAATATTGTATAAGTATATAAAAGGGAAATGTTCAGATATTATTTTCCCTTGACTGAACATTTATTCAGGATGATGCAATTATTGACAGGACAGTGAGATTTTTGAGCAGCTCCAATACTTTTTCAGAATACAGATATAAAATAATTCTTGTTTTACCTGACTGCTGTATGTAGTCTTTCACCAGCAATTACAGCAGTGTAATCCTACGTATATTCTTCAAAATTTGTGATATCTGATTCAAACCCATATTTTTATCAATCATAATTTTCATAAGAAAACAGAACATGTAATGACCTCAAGTTAAACCTCGTGTGAAGACCCTACTTGCACACCTCTTTTGAAGATGATCCTGCCAATAACCATCATCTAACCTTTAACTCTATGTCAGGACATCAGATCTATATTACAATTTATGCACTAACCAAACACCTGCCTCTGCAGAATCTGAAGTTTTATTGATAGCAGCACATAACTCTGCAAGAACTGCTCCAACATACAGTTCATGAAATCAGTTAAAACCACAGTTTGAAATGGCAACTGCTGCTCTGCAGTCATGCACCTATGATTTGTTCAAAATACAGGAGGGAGATTAATACTACGTTAATATCAGTTTGCTATATTGATCAAATCTCATTATCCAGATTTCTTTTATAAATGTGATTTTAAATACTGAACAAATCAATCTTACAGAAGTGTACCAATGTCTCTCCAGGTATTTAAATGTTGCATAAAGTTACTTGTTGCACAGGTGGTATTAAAGATCACATTAAATTCACCAATGGTTTATGTAAACCCCAAGTTACAGCATTGCAGGTTTTCTGGCAGGAACACACAGACACTTCAGGGTATCTAATGCATAAGAAACTCGCATGGAAATAGCTTCACCTATGCAGTGACACAATGTCAAGAGGCATCCTACTGCATCAGATAAACACCGGTAACAACTGGGATAGGGTTTCTTTATTATCTGTCTTCCTGGGCATTTATGAGCTCAAGAGCAATATTTCACTGGGGTCTGTACAAACACAGAAGGAAGAGATGAGCTAACACAGGCGTCATGTGGTTGCCTTCCAAAGACTTCTCTAAAAGCCCTCCAAGGGGGACAAGTCAAATGTATGTGGCCAAGACACCCCAGACTCTGAAGAGGCTGAGTAAGCCTTAAACTTGATGGGAAAGCCCACGAAGTTCCGAGCCCTCCTCCTTTGAATACCAGGACTGTAAGACAAAACAGTTTCTTCAAATACATTTCATCAAACCCACTTTTTCCCCTGCATAATCTCTACACCTAGCCTCTGCCAAATACTGTCAGTAAGCATTTCTTCAAGGCATGTGAAGGTACACCTCTCTGTTCCAATTTTGCATCGTGTTAGAGCACACAGTTTTACATCGCCAGGCCGAGCCCAGCGCTGGCACAAGAGGCAGAGGTGAGACCAGGTTAGGATATGGCCACGGAGCTGGGAGCACAGGAACTGGTTCCGACAGCAAAAGAAACATGTGAAAGACCTTACCATTTCTGCCCTTTCAGCTAGAAGCCAACGTTTGCTCCACTGGAGAGAAAAGGGGCTCATCCTTAACCAGTATAAAAGAGCACTTGCTGAGTTTTGACCGTCTCAGTCTGCTGAGGAGCTGACTGACATACATTGACCAGACACAGTAAGAATTACTGAAACAGACTTGGCTTAACACCCATAGTGCCACTGCCTTCTACCCGGAGGGAGGAGACTTAACACAGACAGCTTTCTACAGGGCTGTGGAAGCTTGAAGCAACGTATTTCTCAGCAGCCATGCAAGACACCTTGCTCAAGCATCACAGGGGGCTGGCTGGTCCTCGCCTTGCTGCAGCCTGTGCTTAAGGATCCCAGCCTTTATCCTTACCACCTTTACAGGCCGAGCTTGTACCCCCACAAACCATAGCTCTGCGTTATTTTTTAAATGATAGATTGCTTCTCTGAGCCCAATTCTTATTACAGCTAATCATGCCAGGGCATTAAGCCCTCAACAGAGAAAACAAAGTGATAATTTAGCATTAAATTGCTATATAGATGGGCATAGCATAAACTTCTGCTACGAAAAAGCCTGAAACACCAGTGGGGGGGGAGGAGGAATT